TAAATGGGTACTTAATTGGAGTACCGTCGGTAATGCAGCGTTCTGCAATCCTCGACACGAGGATTCGGGTTTGTTTACTTTACGTCGTACGTTTTTTTTATCGTGACGTATTTACGGAAAATGTGAACGGAATAATAAATAATTTTCCGACGGGCGTTATGGCGTGACAGGCGTGCTCGAGTCGCTACGGAGGCGAAACTGTCAAACGTGACAGGCATCACACGTAATTTTTCACAATTTTTAGTTTGAAAAAAAGGATGGCCCACGTCAATCAGGGAATCGGGGAGGCCGCGGACTTTCTAACGAGGTTTCACAATATCTCGAACAAACTGAAAAAGTAAATCTTTTAAGTTAAAGCGCTCAATTTTTTGACTCAACGACGATTCTCTTCCTCATTGCTTTGATCCCCTTCTGATCCCTTAGGCGATTTCTGAGGAAGCCAAATGTCGCGGAGGCATGCGATCAATTTAGTGAGTGTTCAATTTAATATCAATTAGATAAAAGATTAATACAAGCCTCTCGGAAGGTCGACTGACTAATTTCATTTTTTGTATGTTTCTTGATTACTACTGCTACTATTATTTTAATACTGGAGCACATGACCGTTTTACAATTTTATCAATTTTTTTCTCTCCACCTTTTTCATAGAATTAATCACAGCTTACATAGTTAGTCCTATGTAATAATTTAACTCTTAATTATACTTGGAAAACAAAGAATAAATAAATAAAGATATCCGATTTCTTTTTTAGGTGCCTTAGCTACCGAATGCGAACAGAAAGAATTGTGGCAATATGCAGGTTTGTGCTGGTTGGCAGCCGCTAGATGCCAGGGCACATTGGAAAATGCCTCCTCGGAAATAAATCTTCTGGTGAAGGCTGGAAGGCAATTCCTTATAGCTGAGAAAAAAGATAACGACATAGGATGTCCCTCTATAGGCCAAGAGAACATACAGGTCTCTGGGTGCAATATGAATTTGTAATAAAAAGGAAGTAAAAGGAAAGGACTAAATATAGCTCCCGTTGCAGGCGGCTGTGAGTTGCTTTGGCCATTCTATGGCTAGATGCAGCAATCAACCAGGATTCAACACAATTTCTGCTGGTTTATCAGTAGAGTTGGCGTTAGCGCTAGGCCCAGGTCCCGCCGGTATTCAACAGTTGCGCAAAGCAATCGATATCTTTCCTACGTCAAAAGCTATCAATACCTTAGTGTCTTTCCATATAAGACAGGGTCAGTACTTGATCCGTTCTCATCTGTGTACTCATGATTAATTTATATTTTTACAATTATCCTTTTCAATCAATTTGGAATATGCAGTGTTTCAGATAATTTTATCCTTACAGGAGATTACGTCGCTGCGTTACAAATACTCAATGAATTTGTAGAATTTGTAGAAGCTTGTGTTGTGGCTGGTGCTAGAGGAAACTATAATGCTATCTTACATAGGTATTACCTTATCACAAAGATATAATAATTAGCTGTACGAGACAAATTAATACTCCGAAAAATCAATAACGAAAACAATCGGTTGTTAACTTGTAAATAAAAAATTCGCTTCGTTCTGTGATTGGCTCCGTGATTATAATCATTTGTAAAATTCATTGCTATATTAAATTGTAGTTAATACATAATACCTTTCTCTAAACAATACATTTAATATAATAAAAAATATATATCATGAAATTTATAATTAGGTGCGAAGTGACGCGAGTACTTCTACTGCTCATTCTTCAGCCATCACCCCAGAGATTGACCCCATCTCTCGCCCAAGTCCTCGAAAAGTACGCGTGGGCGGAAGAAAATGTGAACAACGGTATAAATCAAGTTTTCAATTGTACAGAGATAATTCTGGTTCTTCCGTAACAAATATATTCCAAGTTATTGAAACGAGTGCCTCTCTTTCTTGCAGGTCTCAATATGAGCGAGGACGAATTATTATTACTGCAATCCCTAGTATTAGCGTGCCAATCTCACGATCATCAAGCGGTGTTGGAGCTCGAAAACGAACTATATCCTTACTTCGATACAGAGCAGAAGGAACTGTTGCATAAATTGATACAAGTAGTATCGACGCAGTAAATATACAATAATGCCGTGTGTAACGAGCTGGGCGTATGATATTTTTCTCCCGATTGTCTCCCCCGCCGTAGGACACTCCTCGCGATTTCACGTCGCGCCGTGCGGTCCATCGAAATCGAAAATCGGGGCACATTCCTCGACGGACGAGTGAGGGATGCCCCTCGGCATGGTGGTGTTTTTTTTTCGTTTCGCGCGATTACGTTATTAGTCGCCTCGAAACAGGTTCCTGCGGCCAAAGGCTGAGCTGTTGCTCAATCGAGACGCCGAGGATGAGCCCCCTGCTTTTACTAATCCAGTAACGGTCGTGTTGCAAGCGGCGAATTCACGTGAGACGATGGCAAACTCGTCACGCTTCTCGATGTGAAAGGAGGAGGAGGAACTCTTTAGACGAGAATCGTAGAACGGACGGCTGGAGTGGAGCAAGACAAGGCTGGCAGGAAGGGCATAGTGTGCGTGCCGGTATAGCATCGCGGAGGAGGGGATGTCTCGCGCGTCCCACGATATACTGAAGTCCGCTTCTCTACGGCTACTATTCAAGGCAGAGCAAGGCAGAGTCGCAGTCGGTGTCAGTTATCGTGCGAAAGTGCCTCAGAGTCCTTCGGATCAAAGTTGTTCGCGTTCCTCACTGAATTCTTACTTAATCCTGGACCGAGGTAACGATCTCTTCGTTCCGTTACACGATATTCTTAAGTCTCCTAATCTTGCAACAAAAGCGAATTGCGTATATCGCAATTAAAAATCCGCTGGAGCAATGCGTCAGCTTCATTATATAGAATAGAATGACAGGAAGCCTCTTCGAGCGCGAACAATCTCTCGTGATCTAATGAGAAAAATCGGTTCCAAGGATGCCGATTGATTTCTCTAAAGGTCAAGGTTCGTAGAGACTCTCGTATTCGAGTCGTTGCCATTGCAAGAACACATTCCAAATGAAACGGTGATTAATCAGTACATGCGTAGATTAAGGTAGTCTTGGTTTATTCACGATAGATTTCCGTTGAAAAACTTGAGTTAAATTTATTTAAATAGTGGATATTACATAGAAAATGGTTTTTTACACAGATACAAATCTAGAATTTTTTTTAATGCACTTGAATATACACTGCTAAAGATCAAATAAGCGTCTGGTGACCGTGTAATTTCGAATACCGTTAAGTATGACTTCACGCGAGTTAGGTCGTAAATTTAATGAATTGGAAAAATTCCTGAACACACAGACACATTACGATTATGCTCGAAAATATGATTTTATATACTCGCGATTATTATATTGTTTGAATTCTAGAATCATATAATTTTCGAGATATTTAAAGTTTAAATATTTAAATTCTCAATTTTTAAATTAAATCTTAATTTCAGATTAATTTATATAAATTGTTATGTATATATAATTTGTTTTTCTTTTTCCATATACTCGCCGCGTATAATGCGTTCTTCCTTTTTAACTTCGAGATGCTAACACTTCGCGTCCCCGCTACGTTAATTTACCACGTGTTTCGGCGACCTTGAACTCTCTTTGCTCACTTGAACGAAGGTGAATGCCCTAGGCACCTGCACTCTTCGGTTTGCGAGTGTGCGTCCCCGCGTCGATAAAATTCTGACCCGTGTGCATCTAGAACTTGAATCGAGAGTTTATTTACTCCAGAGATTCGTTCCTCGTTGAGGAGATTGATATATTAAAAATACTAATAAATAGAATTCGTACTAATAATAAACAGATACTGCGATATGATTATCAGTTGTATTATTGTTTCTATAATGAAGAGATTCTTCTATTATAAGGAAATTTCATAAACAAATTTTGGTTCTTGGAAAAAAGATGCGTTGTCAATTTATATTATAGAACAGATTTTTAAAACAAATTCTTTATGATATTCTACAATAATTGTTTCAATTCAATTGAACGTATATCCGTTTTTTTCGTACGACGTACGAGGAAGAATCTCGACAAACGATCCGTAAATAAAAAAATTGAATTCTCTCGTCCAGTCGAGATGGGAGACTGGAGGACCATTTTCGTAACCGGAGGCGCCGGTTACATCGGCAGCCACTGCATCGTCGAGCTCCTGGAGTGCGGTTACGACGTGGTGGCTATAGATAACTTTGCAAACAGCGTGACAGAAACCGACGGCGAGTCCGCGGCGCTCAAAAGGGTCGAGCAAATAACGGGGAAAAAAGTCACGTTTTACAACTGCGATCTGCTCGACAGAGAGAAGCTCGAGACCGTATTTAACCAGGTATTACGTTCGCTAATGATTTCAGATTATACATTCCATTTATCATTATCATTTCATTATATATATATTATACGGCGTGTAATATTGAAAGAGTTACAAAGCAGTTTTTTCCGGACTCGTGAAAAGAGTAATTTGTCACTTTCAGCACAAAATAGATTGCGTGATACATTTCGCGGCTATTAAAGCCGTTGGCGAATCGATGCAGGTTCCGCTGCATTACTATCGAAACAACATAATAGGAGCTATTAATCTGCTTGAGGTAAGATTATATTTACAAAGCGTATACGCTTCCCCGGTCATCATTTCTACAATTCCGATGTGTCCTCTTATTTGCAGGTGATGAAAGCGGCTGGCTGCTTTCAGCTTGTATTCAGTAGCTCTTGCACGGTTTACGGCGAGCCTACAGAACTGCCTATCACGGAGGAACACGAAACCGGCAATATCACCAATGTGTATGGCCGAACAAAGTACTTTATCGAGGAGATGCTCAAGGATATATCCAGAGCTGAAAAGGTTCTTGTATATAGAAAATTTCGAATTTACGCAAAACTCTAGCTTCGTACGAATAACGATTAAAATTTTACTTGCGTAAATAATATGGTGTTTATACACTCGTACAAATATTACTCCATAGTACAAATATACACTCCAGATTAAGAATAAAAGGCCAAATTTTTTATTTTTCGTTTTCTCCTTCGGAAAGAAATCGTATATCACTTGCATTCTAGTTTGTACTATTTCTTCTAGTTTTTATTGAAGATTTCTTTTGTTTTAACAGAGTTGGAACATCGTATCTCTAAGATACTTTAATCCGGTTGGTGCTCATCGATCGGGATTGATCGGAGAGGATCCGACAAAACCATTCACAAACCTGATGCCGTATATCGCTCAGGTCGCTTTGAGGCACAAGCCGGAGTTGATCATATTCGGTGGTGATTATCCTACGGATGACGGCACAGGTAACAGATGAGAATATCAAATAATAAACGCTTTACATATTTTCGTTACTGCTTCTATACTCACGCTTTATACCTTTCCAGGCGTCCGTGATTACATTCACGTTATGGATTTGGCTGCCGGTCACGTGGCGGCATTAAATGCTCTGCACAAACAACACCTCAGGCTAAAGATTTATAACTTGGGCACCGGCAATGGCGTGACCGTGTTGCAATTAATAAAAACATTCGAGAAAGCCTCTGGTACTACCGTGCCGTACGTTATAAAAGAGAGAAGAGAGGGCGACATTGTGTCCATGTACGCTAACACGGATTTGGCGAAAAAAGAATTGGGCTGGACAGCGAAGTACACTGTGGAGCAAATGTGTAAGTAACGTAACCCTTAAACGCGGGATCTGAACAATCTCAAACAATCGTGTCTAACGGTGAGACGTCGAATACAGGTCAGGACTTCTGGAGGTGGCAAACGATGAATCCATACGGATACCGAACTTCAATAAAGAACGGAACTACTGAACACCTGAACAATACATCGTAAAAAATTGTATCGAGGAAATTATGCAAATAATTTATAATAAAGAATCGATACGCGTTCTTATAATTTACATATTTATGAATCACAGATCTATCTCTTACATTTTTACGGTTGCTCTTTACTCTCATTCTCGCTTTTTATGTCGTCGGCGTCACTTTCATCTTTCTTACATTCATCCAGAATTTCATAGAGCGATAAATGTTGAAACTTTAAGATTTCTAGACCCCAACTCGTCCATCCAGGCAACAAGTACCTTGCAAAAATTTCTAGACACTTTGGGTCGTCCGGGAGATATTCCTTTATAATTTCTAAAGACGCGAACAAATGTTTTATTGTAATTGTATATTTTACGGAATATATTTTTTGTTTAAATTTACTCGTACCTGTGAGAGGTGGTTTGTGAGAATGTACCGCACTAGGTATGCTGATCATCAGTCTGCCATCAGGGATATTCACTTTGTCGTTTTCCAATGCAGATCCTAGTATCAGTAATTCATAAGGTTGCTTGCCAGGCGCTGAGTTAAAATTACATATTGTATCACCTGCTTGTGTCACCTAGAGTGGCAGTTGTTATCTAACTTATTGCATTGCATTCCCAACATTATTGAGACATTGCCTACCTTGAGCCAATACCACTTAGCTCTATAAGTAATACCCCAAGATGGAAATATTTCGTTGAAGATACTATTCAAATGATTGGACGAATTGGTACACCATACGGCTACAATACCATTTGAATGTAACAGTTTTCTTATTGGTATCTTGACTAATTCCTCATTGTACATCATTTTGTAACTATAAAAGAATATACAATCATTTCTTCAAATATCTCACGCAATTAATGACATATTTAAAATAGTTAAGAATAAGTTGAATTTATAGATCAATTGTATTCTCTCTAAACTCTTTTCTCTATTAAAATATTGTCTATTTGTTAATTTATAGCAAATCGCAGTGAAATTACCTGGCCTCTGCGCACTTCATTTTCTTCCTTCTGATTGACTTGTTCCACCAAGGTGGATCCAGCAGTATGAAGTCATACTGGTTGCCCAGTTCTATCTTCTTTTCCATATCTCTTACGTCGTAGCAATAAAATGTGCATTTTCTTGGAAACACATATTTCTTATCGTGAGCCTTGGATATTATAGCATCATTAGTATCGTTGGATCCATACAGGTTCTCATCTTTGACGGAATAAGTATCTTGATAGAATTTCATGGATGCCAAACGTGCTACCTCATTGTTATCGAAGGAGTTATTCCGGCAAAAGAGATCTTTGTCTCTCGCAGCAGACATCATTGCGCCGAATGCTTGTTTAACGCGATCAACCTGTCGTGAGAATAATTTTGAGATGCTACATGAAAAAAAACATAAATTCTTGTTTTGGCTGATATTTTAAAATAACCTAAGGCATGAATGTTATATGTTTCTGAACCTACTTACTTCCTCCAAGTCTTTCTGCGGCAATCGCTGCGAACGCTTCCTCTTTTTTCTATTGTTAAGCATCGTGGTACTGTCCTGGGACTCCTGGACAGTCTGAGCTATCTGATTTTGCCTCAAGTATTGAGAATTGATCTCGAATATCATTTTGTTAAAGCCTAAAGCGCAAAATCCATTTTCGTTTTGGACTTTCTTGTATATCTCATTGAGATACTGCAAGTGAGATATGATCCAGCCTTCCTCGCTGACATGAAGAATACTCATATTTGGCTTTGGAGATCAATGTGACACACACATATATACATATACGATACTGTCAATACTTGTCACAGATCCTTATATGTTCTACATTCAATTTACTATTATATCAATCTGTCTGATGCACAATCATCAATCCAATTAGAAAATAAGCTACGTGATTATGAATATATACATATATACATGTTTAATGCTGCGAACATGAATATATACATATTTCACTTTTTATTTTCATATAAATTGCACGTGCCAGACCTGCTAGGTTGATTCGAAAAGCCTGTAATGTGCAATTTGCATGCAAATTCAATTCTTCGACATTACTGTGGTCGCTATAACAACTGATAACAACCGCCATTTGCCGGCATCGCTCGACGCTCGTGCTCCTTATCACACTTATCACACAACACAATCACACCCCCTCAGCGACCTCAGCACATTTCGCGCCTGCGCGAACTCAAATGACAAACTTCAGGGCGTGAAGATGACCCCAACTCCGATTAAATAAATTGAAGTTTGAACGGCAAACTTCAGAGTGAAGATTACCCTGAC